TTACAGATATCACCATTTCTTTCGGATACAAGATGAAGAAGGGAAGATGTATTGCACGAAGTCAGAGATCTGCAGGATAGTTGATTCTTATTTTGAAAGTCTATATATTCGAGCTGTCGATATATTATATACTCCGCACAACTCACAAGAAACCTGCCATCCGTTTTTGCAAGATGAAATAAGTATGGCACTGAATTCAATGAAAGCAGGCAAGTTACCTGGACACGATTGCATCACTGTAGAGATGATTAAGCAAGGAGGAGAACAGCTTATTCCCTTGATCACACAGCTTTAATCAGTGTCTCCACTCCGGCAAGGTGCCAGCGAAGATGGCAGATTCAGTAACCATCTTACTCTACAAAAAGGGAAATCCGGATGAATTACGCAACTACCGCCCAATTTCTTTGCTTCCGGTTCTCTATAAGTTGCTTGCCAAAGTCATCAACCAAAGATTAGAAAGAATTCTCGACCAAGAGCAACCACGGGAACAGGCAGGTTTCCGAAAAAAATTATTAAACGGTTGATCATATCCATGCCATCAATGAACTGATTGAACGCACAAGTGAGTACAATTTGCCACTTTTCATGGTATTTGTAGATTATGAAAAGCATTTGACACCGTTGAATTAAATGGACTTTGGACTGCTTTTGAAGAACAAGGAGTTCACTGGCAGCTTATCACTCTTCTTCGTCAAATCTATTCAAGCTCCAAATCTACCGTAAAGGTCGGTGAAGCGTCAGTTTCTATTAATGTTGAGCGAGGAGTGAGACAAGGAGATCCACTTTCACCAAAGCTGTTCACAACCACACTTGAACACGTTTTTCGAAAGATCAGCTGGAACAACTACGGTTATTACATAAATGGTAATCAGCTCACGAATCTTCGTTTTGCTGATGACGTCGTCTTGTTTGCAAAAAGTGGAGATGAATTACAAGAGATGATAAACAACCTGGATATTAATTCACGTAAGAGCGGTCTCAAGATCAATCCTTTGAAAACCAAAGTGCTTGCACACGAGCCAGTAACAATCAGTTTGGGAGGCGCAACCATCGAACAGGTGGAATCTTATATTTATCTTGGACAGTCCATTTCACTTCCCCGTGATAATAACAAAGAGACGTCAAGACCTATACATGCTAGATGGCAAATTTTTAACCAATATAAGGATTTCTTGACATCGAAGAGAGTGCTAACGAAGTGGAAGCGGAAATTGTTTAATTCATGTATTTTTCCTGCGATTCTGTAGGGTGCGGAAACATGGGCAATGACGAAGAAGATGGAGAAACAGCTTAGTGCTGCTGGAAGACGTATAGAACGGAGAATGGTTGGCAGTCGCCTTATAGACAAGAAGACGAATTCATGGTTACGTGGCGTCACCAAAGTGAAAGATTTAGCGACCTGCGCAAAGGAAAGGAAATGGATTTATGCTTGGAAACTCGCCAACAGAAATGAGATAAAATGGTCAAGAGAACTATTGGAATGGCGGCCATTCCAACAGCGTTCAGTAGGACGACCGAGGATGAGATGGAGAGATATTTCAGAAGATGCTTGGCACTTGCAATTAGCAAAGAGTAGCAAGATCACTCACGTTGAAAGAATGGATCAATTTGTTTGGGTGCCACATATTGTAATAATATGAGAGGCAAATAAATCTAAATCTAAATCTTTTGATCGTGCAACACGTTGTTGGACAGCGCGACACTGAATTTCCCCAGAAAACATTGTTGACTCTGTGCAAAAGATCAGTGATCGATACAAATTCTTAAATTAGATGTTTAGCAACTGTGAAATTGTAACATTCCATTCAAAAGGTATTTACAAACATCATTCATTCTGCAAATGTCTACTACTCATAACGTGTCAAAGAGTGCATTATTGACTATTACAGTTTTCATGCGCGCCTCAAATAGCCAAAAAAAATTCGCGCTCTTCAAAAATCTTACATGCTTTTGTACTGACTTGTGAGTATTTTTCCTACAATTAATGTATGCAAAATTTTCTGCTCAAAGATTTCTGCTGATGCAGAAACTCTGAACAATTTGGCCAGAATCACAATTTTTTAGGCATCATATGATTTACAAATGTGAATAACCTCAAATTTGTACAAAGAGCGGAGATTTTAGGTGAGCAGCTAAAAGATAACACCTTTGAGTAGGTCCTGTTAAGAATTTGAATCAATAGCTTCCTAACAACAAGATAACCTGAAAAGTGATGGATTTTGAAGCACCTATGGATGAATTGCAAGGATGCTGGACAGTTTGGAAGCCCTTATGAAACGTGATCGAGAGATTTGTCATGCAATTTCTTGAAGTGAATGAGGAATTGTGACACTTCCAGAAAAACTACTTTGTGAAAAGAAAGAGGGAGTGTTTGAATTTGAAGAACTTTAGATTTGGATTGGATGTTGGCTATATCTTCAAGGATGTTAATTCGAATTTTCTCGTTATTTCAATTTCGGAAAGAGATGAGTAGTTTGAGCAAGATATTTGGGGGGGGGGGGGCGAGGGGAGAAGGGGGCGGGGGAGAGGGTTCTGAGGCAGCTTCGGAAGTCACTCAGTGTGGAAGCAGGGACCCGGATGGGAAGAGTGCACGTGGCTGATAAAACTTTGTCGGGTATGGGACAGGCACTTGCTCTTGGGTGAAAAGGAAGGGTGGGGGGGGGGGGAACGATTCTCTAAGTGCCCGGATAGCAAAACGCTATACAACGAGTATGTGTGAAACAAAGGGAAGAGCGCGGCTAGCAAAAGCTTAGAGGGGCAATCATAATTCTGTTGCCAATTTCGACAGAAAATCCTTGAAATTCGAAAGCAGGGAAGATCCACGATTTTTGCAACTTCTGAGGTAGTTACGTTTTCAAATCTGTGCCATACTTTTCGCTACAAATTTTTGAAAGTTGTAATTTTTTGCCACAACCCACTTCACACACACAGCCAGTCCAAAGCGCCGCAAAGCTGGCTCAGTATATTTAGCATTCAATATAGTCAACAATATAGTCATATTTCAATCAACGGCCGTATGTGGATGGCCTACACATGGAACATTGAGTCACAGAGCAACAACATCAAACAAAAAATTGACAAGAACATGAGCCTTGTTGCAGCACAAGCATGCGCTGCGTTCGTGCCGCGGAAGTACCCATGAGAAACTGGCCGGGACACATACTATACCTAAACTATGTTATACACCATTCTACGTTTTTCGAGGCTAGAATGGACCGAGTAATGAGATTTGGACACATGAGTTAAAAAAGCTGTATTTAACTGGGAATCATTCGTCTCATCAGCTGGTTAGAACACCTTCAAATCTTCTAAAAGTTCTGAAAGTCAGCGAAAATTAGACAAGGTAAAAATGAAGGTTCTTAAGCTTCGACGATTATCTCGACGCTTTTCGGGTGCAAGAAAAAAGAAAATGACTTCGCACCAATCTAATATAGACTCTGCTTCGAGTCACTACGTATCTTTGCCTTATGGGTGTGCTAGGGTAGAGGAACGAACGCCTCAATGGGCATCGCCTCCGCGAGCTGCTGATCCCTTCGTCCTACTGTTGTGCATCGTGTTGGGACCAGTGGTCCGCGGAGGCAGTGCCTAGTTGAGGTGTTCGTTCCTCCACCCGGTGTGCTGGATCCATTGGCTTCACACTAAAAATCCAGTGGACCGTGTAGGGAAGGAAAATAACACAACATTTTTGAGCGATTATCTCCGGATAGTCTTGTTACGCATAAAAGCTGCTAGTAAAGAAGAGCCTTTAAAACTTTGATGTGCTTTGCCTGCAGTTGCCATAAATTCAACACTTGCAGCTGAACATTTCTCTTCACTAATTTCTGCTAGTGCACATTCTTTCGATTGTGCAAATGAATAAGCAAAGCCAAAAGAAGACGCGAAAAGCCGTATGATGCCGTCTCGGTCCTGACAAGCCGAAAAAATAGCTTGAGATTGCCCGCTTCTGGCGCCAGTGGGGAGGGGGTCACCCTGTGTAAGTGTGTTATCAGAGTGGGCAAAGAGATTGCGGATGGAACCTATCACTTCTTATAAGATAGACTTGACGCAGATTTGTGACTATGCAGATGCGCATCACTCCATCTTTGACCTGATGCGGCAAACGTACACCCAGCCGACACATCTGAAAAATGCGCAGATGCGCGCATTAACAGAGGGGTTACCTTGCAGTAATGCATAATTTCTGATTTTTTTCTTGATTTTGAAAAAGCTCACATCGGGAGCTACTTAGGATCCTGTAAAGAACAAATCCTCTTGGAAAGAAATTTCTTCCCACAACAGATTCTCGACCCTATTTTGTACGAATTATTGCACGCATTGGTCTACAAGACCATTTCTTTCTGGGAAATGGCCGCATGCTATTTGTAATTTGAAAAAAAAAGAAAAAAAGAATTTTGAAATTAAGTTTTAATATGTAGCTGACTTAAATACAGAACAAATCACTTAATTATGATCTAAGTCTCTTACCATTTTCAAGATAGTGCTTCAAAGTCGGAACCAATAATTTCGTAGTCTCTATGAAAGGCAAAAAGTATCACACGCCGCTTCCTGCTCTTTCCCTTGAATGAGTCGCAAAATCTTTGTTTTTTAGATGATAATAAGCGTGCACAAACAAAATGTAGAAACGGCCATCGAAAACTTTCGAAAAAAGTCGAAATTTTTAAGGACGTGACTATTTTCTTTTCCTCCCTCTTCCAGGCAGTACCCACATCTTTCAAAATGCTGATGAATTTCTTAGGGGTAATCTAACAAAATCATGTAAACGGCTTGTGTGTAATTGTTGAATTCTAATGCACTCTGAAATTTTTATGTTTGAAAAAAAAATCCCAGGAATTTTGCAGCTTTTGAAAGGCAGGTTGAATGTCAAAAACTTAGGGAAGTGTATATGTGGGACAGCGCAGGGTAGTGTTGTTGGTCGTTTGTTTAAAAATACGCCTCTCAAAAAGGAGCCTGCGTTACTGCGGCTTGTGGGTTAACAGAAGACCACAAGAGAAACCGCAAACCTGGAGGAGAAGTCGAATTTTTGTGTCATCTTTACTTTCATCGAAAGTGACGAATTTAAAGGTTTCACGGCGAAGATACACGTGGATTAGCAACGAAGTCAAATTGTAATTCTCCTTTTTCCAATTGTTGTCTCCTTCCAAAGCCGGCCAAACGCCGAAACTCTAAAGCACTCTACATGAGAGATGTTCTGCAAGAGAAGCTATGCAAGACTACCCTGACGTCCTCTATTAGGCGCTTAGCACCAATACGGTTCATTTCGTCCTTATCCATACACTTTTTGTAGAAGGTCTTTAAAACATTCACAGCTTTTGATCCAAAGGTGTCGTTTGATTCATACAGACCTTAACATTTGTTTGGGCGAGATTCAATAAGTTGAATCTAAAGACACAAATCTATTCTACCAAGGCTGCTGCAGAATACGTTCATGTCAAAGTCAATTGTACTCCCAATGATCTCATGTCAGCAAAGAAAAGCTTTGCACGCACACGCATGCACGCACGCACGCAAAAAGCTTCATGGATGTGAAGTACTGCATGCACCTTCTAGCGGAATCATCCAGCAGAGCTGAGCAAGTGCCACCAACGTCTAGCATCTGTCAAAGTTTTCACTGAAGCCTCTTTCTTCAGACGCTAGTAGCAGGCTCAGAAAAAGGTGGCGCTTTCTTTTTTTTCGGAAACGAAGTCCTACTCCTATGTTCGCAATAAAAATACGAAATACCCTATGAACCCTCTTGAATGAACCAAACAGGGACAAGAAAAAAGAATACACAAAAGTAAGAACGACACGAAATTGGCGATAAAAACAACTAGTAATGTTCGTATTCTCCGCATTGGCGGTATGTTTTGCACGCGCCATTGCGCCCTGGAGCAGGTTTGCCGCCGCCATGTAGAATCTTTAAATCGCTGTAGCTAGGTGGGAAGAGATTTGAGGAGCTACAAAAGCTAGTTTGTAGAGTTTTCGGAGCAGATTGAAGTTAGGTGAATACTTTGTAGAAAATTACTTGAAGGGAGGAAAATTCAAGACGCTGAGCCACCTCAGGTGGCTCTCTAGGTAGCTCGAAAGCCTTCTAAGTCAGAAATCAAAGTTTGCTACCCATAAGTTTTCCTAATCTTTGACAATTTCTTTACTACACATCTATACCAATTTGGTGTCATACTATTCTCTTAGCTGTAAACAAGCTTTTTGTTCATCTCGCGAATTTTTGAACTCACGCGCTTGTGGAAAAGTGGAAAAACGCTTATTTAAGAGGATATAGGGTTGGCAGGGGACCGAGGAGCGATTAAGCGCTTGCGACGTCTCCAGAAGACGAGGATGTGCTCAGATAATCGCCGGAGGCGGGCGGGCACCGAAAAAATAGATGGCTGATTTCTTGCACCCCGCTCGCGGATTTTTCAGAAAGCAGTCACGACTTTTTGGGACGCCGCTTGCTGATTTCTCGATTCCTCAGAGATTCAGCAACATATCTGCAAAAGACAAGAGCGAAAAAGAATTCAACAGGCGATCTCTCAAAATCTCGCTATACATTTTCCTGAAATTTGCTTAATGCGAAATTCCAGCAACGCGCATTTTCCGGCGCCCGCCTGCCCCCGGCGTTTGTCTGAATGGAGTAAAAATTAGGGGTAATTGTGAGGGAGGATGAAATCCAGAAGTATGTATGTTATCAACAATAGCTATGGGATAAAATTCGTTGGTAAGGAGCAGGGCTGCAAAAAATTTCCTAAGTTGTGGGCCTGAAATTGCATTGCATAATATTCGAAATTTTATTAGGTTGGAAACTAAGTTTTGCAACTGCTTCCATAACTTCACTCTCACTGGAATAACTTCACTCTCAGTGGCGAGCTCAAACTTTGGCAGTAAGCAGAACGTGATGTGTGAAATGCACAGAAACTATGCAGATTGGAAACAATTTATAATTTCATGCGTCTTCCGGAAACTAGTGAATGGAGAGGACTTTTGTGGGATGAGCGAAAAATAACCGTTAGCATCCCAGACTATGACACAGATCCAAAACCTTGCGTGAGTTTTTGCTAGAGATTAACTCACTTGATTTTACTTAGCAATCTTCTCCTATATATACAAGGTGTCCCAAAAATAAGTACACACTATTCAATCGTTAATATCTCTCTTCCCATTGGTTCTTTTTCCTCCATTCAAGTACCTTTCTATAGAGGAGACCAACTTAGATTTAGAGTATCGAGCGAATCACCGATCTCTCTTCATTATTGTAGGATTACTGTGGGAACTTCGACAAAGATTTTAGGCTATTAGAGGGCATATTCTGCCTCGGAGCAAAACCAAACAAACCAGAAAATCTCATACTATGGCAATAGAAGCTGCTGATTTTGAATTTAAATCTTCCACTTTACTGTAATGCTTTTTTTCAAAGTTATCTCAGGTCAACCGTTATAACCGAATTCCCAGCATTTGTCGGAAATGTGATTACACCGTCAAAAAAGCTAAAACCACTCTTAAAAAGGTGTGTAGTGGAATCAGCGTGCGCGGAAACCCTAGCACACGATTTTTCAGATTTTTTGAAAAGGATTTTTTCGATGGCGTATTTCACAATGGTTCCACATGCTGGAAGTTCTTACCGTAATCCTTTAGTAATGAAGAGCGATCGGTGATTCGCTTGCTACTGTATATCTAAGCTGAGGCTTCCTCTACAGAATGGTACTCGAATAGCGGAAAAAAACCAATGGGAAGAGAGATATTGACGATTGAAAGTGTGTACTTACTTTTGGGACACCCTGTATAATATATACAAACCCGATCCCAAACGCGACGGCTAGATTGCTCCGCCCACGTGCATGGCATAAACGTTTGCTTTGAATAGAAGCCACGCACAGAACAGCGCCCGAACGAACGATCACGACACGCACGGTGCGCTTTGCTGCTGCAATAGATGTGTTGAAATACACAAGCGCGTGCCAAGTGTGTTAGAATGTGCAAGATGGTGGTCGTTACTGAGCATAGAAATGCAAGCATACCATTACTGATCCTCCCATATCCCATCTCTGTATTCATTATGCTTCCGTTCGTTTCTCAAGCTCTTCCCATTCGTGTCAGCTGAGCTATTTTTAGGAAATATTTTCCACTTTCCTGTCTAATTTTGAAAAAAAATTCCGAAAATCTTGCTTTTGAGAGAAATTGCTTTGCTTGAATTCTCTTTTTTCCAATATGTAAGCATGGATGCCAAATCAAGAAACGAAATTGAATGGCGATGACCAGGACAAAACACTATTTGAGAAAGATATGATTGTCGTCGGTCTTTCTGTAGTATATTCTGAATAGAAAATTCAATTCTGAATCGATCGATTTGCACACATGCACTTCGCGGCGGGCGGGGGTCGCAGGCTACTTTTCTTATCACCGATATCTCATCGATCTTTATCGCTTATTTGTATAGTTTGATCTACGAGGCTAGGAGTTTGCACAAGGGGGTCGGGCATCCTAATTACGAATGCGATATCATTTTTCAAGATATCGATTACTTCTGTCAATTTTATCGACTTTTTTCAAAGTTCGAGCTACGGGTCTGGGACTTGGCAAGGGGGGGGGGGGTAAGTGAGCATGCTAACACATCGGGAGTAGGGAGTTGCCATGTGGAAGTGGGCACAGGGAAAGACTGTATAGAGATAAGGATAAGACCTTTATCATAGTGTGACAAAGCCGGACGGAGCCGGGTAAGCCAGCTAGTATGAAATAAATTCTAAAGGCGGGAGGGGGGAGGGGAAATGCCCTAGAATTCGCGCGTTGCCACACAACCTATATTGTATGACTACCCCAAATGTAATGTAATGTAATGGTTTATCAACATCAAAACAAGAGATTTGTGAGGTGAAGTATTAATTTGTAGGTACAAATGATTGGAAAACTTTTATTCTTTGGATATCTAATTTTGTTTTCTCCAAAACTGAATTTTTAAATTGATCTCGAAGATGAGCTTTGGCAGACAACCTCTTGCATCCAGAAAATCTGCATTCAGCAACTCCTTTTGCACGCTGCAGAATTACTGCAAAAGCGTTGTGATTTCTAGATATGTTGAGCGAGATGCTCTATTACGGAACTTACAAGAAAGAAGGAGAATCTAAAATTTGATAACCCAAGTGGTTCTTTTACCCAGCTTGAACTTATGTCAACAGACTTACTTCGGCAGGCTTCACCACTGCATTCTACCTCATTTATAGAATTGGGACTATTTCCCTTGTTAGCCATAATCTATTTGTTCTTGCCTTGCCCTACTCCCCTCCAAAAATTTTTTTTGTGACTTAATTTGAATTGATTGACGTGTGAAGTTAATTGTAGTAACAAGATAATTTCGAAGAGAAAAACTCAGATCATTAGGTCAGATATTTCTAATATTTTGATAGATCAGATATTTCTCGTTTCATTTCTAGCGTTTTGTGCATTTAAGTAACTTACGTCAACCTTCAAAATTTTTCATTTTCTTATCTTATACTTTCAACGCAACCCAATCCATGATTTATAACGGTTGGGTAGCACTTAAATCTCGGCTCTTGGTTAACACAACCTCTTAATTGCTCTAGCACTTTATCCTTGAGGATCTCATCATGATCGTAGCTATCTTTGTCTTTAGGAATCGGATGGCTAGCTATCCAGTTACCACAAGTAAACTCATAGAAATCCTCGCATGGATCCACCTGAAATGCATCTTAATCAAATCTTGAAGGCAGGTATAACAACGAACCGAAAAATTTATGGAATTTCTAAGAATTTCCGATGCAATGCTGTATCCTTCATAATCCGCTGATGACCCGATAATCTTCACATCCTCTTCGTACGGTGGCGTAGCGTCAGGAGTACACAAACACAAAGGCATTAAAACCACTGTCCAGCGCATTTGAAAATGGCGACTGTATACAACTATAAAAACAGTATTTATGAAGGTACGGAATTAGCCCACGTATAGAAGTAAATAAAAGGGGCACCTATAGAGTGAATGCAGCTTTTTGGAAGAGAGAATCTATTTAAATTTACAGTAACAAAGTATGAGATATCCGCAAAACGTTATACTCAGCCAGTTCAAAATGAAAAGCATTATTCTTCCTAAAGGTTCAAAATGCTTTTGGAGTCAGTGCGCTCCAAAACGTCTGTTAGTTTCTACTTATGCTGTGAGATAAATCAAGCTTTTATATGGATATTGTGTTTGAGCCGCGACACCCACCTTAACGCAACTAACTTGTTGTTTATTTTGGAGTACTTTGGGGTAAGCTTTTTGAAGCAGACCCTTTCACATATTCCTAGATAAGAGGGCCTCCCCTATTCAAAAAAGGGACCTTTGGGGTCAACACAAGTCGGTAGCAGGCACGGAGTGGTAGTAGCTTCCATGCCTCCAAAATAGTGAATTCTATGCCCAAAATTTACGACAAATGTTCTATATAAACAAGAATTTGCCAGAAATCTGGTAACAGCCCCACCGAATCTGCCATTCCTCTGCCCTGTGGAGTTCCCACTCGCTTAGATTTTAAAGTCAGCGCAAATTGTCAGTGCAAGTTGTTCCAATTATTATCGGCAAATACATTCTTTGAAAGAAGGGATGGAGAACGAGGGCATATTCTAGATAGTAGGAAAAACGAATAGATTAGGTAAATAAAATTAATCGCAAATATTGCGATAATATATTAGGTTGTCCCAAAGTTTTGTCCGTTTTTTCAATCTATCATAAAAACACGTGGAACGAAGTTAGGGAAACGCCTCAGGCACTATCCGACGCACCTTTCCTCCTCTTTCTAACTATCATGCTCACATGCCGATTACTCTTTGGCTCACTGAGATAAACGCCGAAATTTCGAACCCATGGTTTTTACTATGTCCAAGTTTGGCAATTTTTCACAATCTTCATTTTTGACTTTCGGAAAAGCTTTGGTAGCAGTTAGATAGAGCAAACAAAGGGTAATATAATGCAATTTTGCGGCATCTATAGCTAGCCTTGAAAATTATTTAAGAAAGCCAGAGATCATGAAACGTCGCACAACTAAGGTGTTATTCGATGCAGCTTTTCCTCCTCTTTCCAGTGAGTTTATTTTCTCTCCAATTTGCGGGCAATAAAATTTTCATAATTCTTGAATTTGACCCCACCTCAGCGTGTACACGTAAAATGCAAAATCTTATATTTCGAAGCGGTAAACGCTCAGTTGCTTTGTAAAAATAGTGAATAATCGTAATCGATTTTTTGAAAGCTTCAAAATCCGATGATTTGTTAGTGTTAGAGGGGTTTCTGTATCTTGGGACTTCGTCCAAATCATCTCAAAAAATACTGAAAAGCCAGCTGGATAAGCCAAAAAATTGCGTTGCATTGCCCTTTACTTACTCTATCTGAGGGCTATCAAAGGTCTTCCAAGAGTTGAAAATGAAGCTTGTGAAAAATTGCCAAACTTGGACATAGTAAAAACCACGGGTTCGAAATTTTGGCGTTTATCTCAGAGCAAAAGAGTAATCGGCATGTGAGCATGACATTTGGAAAGAAGGGGAAACGCTGCGTCGGATAGTTCTTGGAGCGTTTATCTACCTTCATTCCTCGTGTTTTTATGATAGGTTGAAAAAACGAAAAAAATTTCGGGACAACCTAATAGATAATAACACATGCATCTTTAGTTACCGACCTCAAAATTAATACTTATGTTAACGTACACTCAAATTGTGAATCTAAAAATTCAGTGTATTGCCTCGTTTGCGGTGAGTTTGAAAAACATTCTTTAAAAGTAGGGATGTAGGTATAACTACAAGAAAACCTAAAAATAAAACACAGGAACATCTTTATCATTCTAAAAAGAATGACTCAAACAACTTGTGGCGGCTCGGTGGGGCAGCACTTTTCCCAAGTGCTCGCCGCGTCTACACTCAACTTCCTTTTGTCCCCTACGGTGTTGCGCTGCTGTCAAGGGTCATGACGCCTTAGCGGTTGCTACCGTGGACAGCCCCCACCCCCATAATAACATAAAGGTGCGTGAAAGCTACATAAGAAAAAGAGCCGACTAATTAAATATATTTATCTTTAAACACAAAAAGTACACCACACACTAAAACTACTAAACGAGTAAAAGAAGAAACTACTAAAGAAGTAAAAGACAGCGGTCGCATCGCCCCATGTCACCGACGACTCCGTTGGGCCTATCTCCAAAGATGAGCTTCCCGAGGCCTCATCCGTCGCTAGTCGCCCAGATCCAAAGTAAACGGTGCAGCCCTCTCCGCTCCCCATAATTTATATAAATACAGGGTGTCCCAAAAAGATGTGCACACTGTTTGATTTTGAATAACTCTTTCATTATGAGGTCTTTCGAGAAGCGGTAAGCGCCAGGGCTGGCTTCAACTTAGATTTGCAGTATTGAGCGAATCACCTATCGCTCTTCGTTACTGTAGGATTACGGTAGAAACTTGAAAGAGGGATTTGGCCATGAAAGGCCATATTTTGCCACAGAAAGGAATCAAAACAGCCAGAAAACTTTTACACTAGGCCAATTAGAGTTGCTGATTCTAACTGCAAAGTTTCCAACCTATCATGATGTTTCACTGAAGAGTTATGCGAGGTAAGCAGTAGCGGCCATTTTCTCAGTGTTCCTAAAAAGTGCGGTTACACCGTTTAGAAAGCTTCGCAATCTTGAGAATAGTTGAGTATTGAACTCAGCGTCCCTAAAAACCCTATTACACAAGTTTTCACATCTTTTTGAAAATTTTTGAAACGGCAGCTTTTTCCACATTGACACCATATGTTCCAAGTTTCTGCCGTATTTCTACAGTAACGAAGCGCGATCGGTGATTCGCTCTAGACGATAAATCTAAGCTGAATCCAGCTCTACAAAATGGCGCTTACCGCTTCTCGAAAGACCTCGTAATAAGAGAGTTATTCAAAATCAAACAGTGTGCACATCTTTTTGGGACACCCTGTATACAGGGTGCGGCAAAAGTCTGGGAGCCTAGTACTTTTTCATATAAAATGGGAAGGGAAGCACCTAGAAACGAGAAATTTGGCGCACACATAATTCGAACCATTGCAGATACAGCTCAGTTCTTGAATTTCGAAATTGCCTCTTTTGGCTTCCACGCAGCCCTACAAAATCTTGGAAAGTACACCTGTCATGGCACGCAGGTAGTCGTAATGGAATTCGCCCCACGCCTCCATAATAACTGCTTCTTTTACCATGACAAATGTGCAGCACGATAGAGCAAGCTTTTATCTACAATATGCTTCCAAAAGAATTTTTTGCATATCTTAGGAAAAAAAAATTGGATTTTCAATTAGAAGCATGTGTACGTCGCATACCGGAATTTTGGCTACAATTGCGCGAACAAAAACTTAAAATTATCGTTTAGAAAGTATAAAAAGTGTTCCCATGGCCGAATTTCAATAGATTCTAATTTAGAAGACGTATGCAAAAAATACAGCCTTGGTCCCAGTGCCTGTTGAGCATTCTATAGCTTTTAAATTTGTTCTGAAGACGGATTTCCACTGGCACGTAGGTAACATTCGCAAACTTTTATTTTCCGTTTATGCAAGAACAGCTCCTGGCAAAAGCAAAACTAGGATACAATAGCGCAAAGCCTCTTCTATGTTGTGTGCATCGAAATTTTGTAAAATATTAACAGCATCTCTAGCTACAGCAAAAATTGTTAATACTAAAAATTCTGGTTTTTTCGCTTTGCAAAAGTACTAATTTGGTAATTTCCATTCATACAAAAACATGAGGCAGCCATATCCATCAAATAAAGTGTATTTTGTAGAGGATGACCGCAGCATCATGTGGCATAAAATTGAAATCAAAACCACCAGTACCTTTGTAATTGCATTACCGCAAAGTTAAGCTCCCAGACTTTTGCCGCACCCTGTACAGGGTGTCCGTAAAAAATGTGCCTACTGTTTGATTGTGAATAACTCTCTTCTAACGAAGTCTTTCGAGAAGCTTTAGGCACCATTTTGTAGAGCGAGGTTCAACTTAGATTTGCAGTATAGAGCGAATCACCGAGCTCTTTTTATTACTGTAGGATTACGGTAGGAACTTTCAGCATATGGAACCATCGTGAAATATGCCGCCTGACAAAATTTTTTTTCAAAAAATCTGAAAAATCGTGTACTAGGGTCTTCGCGCACGCTGATTCCACTACACAACTTTTTACGGGTGTTTTCAGCTTTTTTGACGGTGTAATCACGTTTCTGAAAAATGCTGGAAATTCAATTATTACGGTTCACCTGGGGTAACTTAGGAAAGAGGCACCACAGTAAAGTGGAAACTTTATATTCGAAAAGAGCGGCTTCCATTACCATAGTGTAAGAATTTCCGGCTTGTTTGGTTATGTTCCGAGGCAGATTATGGCCTCCAAAGACCTAAAATCCTTGTCGAAGTTCCTACCGTAATCCTACAGTAATAAAAAGAGCTCGGTGATTCTATACTGCAAATCTAAGTTGAACCTCGCTCTACAAAATGGTGCCTAAAGCTTCTCGAAAGACTTCGTTAGAAGAGAGTTATTCACAATCAAAAGTAGGCACATTTTTTACGGACACCCTGTATATCCAGGGGTGTCCCAAAAAATGTGCATACTGTTTTTAAATAACTCTCTTGTAGTGAAGTGTTTCGAGAAGCTTTAGGTACCATTTTGTAGAGCCAACAACTTAGGTTTACAGTGTAGAGCGGATCGCCGATCGCTCGTTCTTACTGTAGGAGTACGGTAGAAACTTTAAACATATGGTGTCACTGTGAAAAAGCGGCCATTTCAAAAATTTCCAAAAAAATGTAGAAATTTGTGTAATAGGGTTTTTATGGAACCTGAGTTTAATATCCAACTCTTAACAAGGTTGAGAAGCTTTCTAAACGGTGTAACCGCACTTTTTAGAAACACTTTAAAAACGTCTGCTACTGCTTACCTCGCAT